TCATGTACTTATATAAACCTGAGCTAGAGGGTTATGAGGGCAAATCAAGCAGACCAGCAATTCTTTTATTAGGAAAAACTATACTTGTTACAGCGGTTTTCATATAGGGTTACTAATCAAAAGTTTCACTAATATAATAATTATATCTATAATATATGATATCAAAGAGGCAAGATTTTGCTGTAACTCCGCGAGTTTCGTGCTACGCACTCATCAGATAGTATTCATCAGTATTTCTTTGATATCATATATATATAAACTAGCTCTACACTTTATGTCAAATCGAATCCTCGGTATCAAGGTCATTTTAGCCCTAATGCATCAGTCAATTGAAACCCCGGCCCCCCAACCCCCGGGGAGGGCCGGGGAATTAACACATTTTAGACTGGGCCGAGGATCGTGAAAAATGAGTGAGACTGGAAACAAGAGTGTCATGCATCCAAAATGGCTGCATGCGAACATAAGGTACGGTGAAACGTACACTTTTTAGAAGTTTTTAAACATGTTTATGTGTTTTAAAGTAAACAATTAATGAACTTGTTTATTTTTTTTACTATTTGTTGGCTTTTTTACTTTTGTTTTTACGTTTATTATACACCCTTTTAATAAGTCCTGAGGTATTGTGTTCTCCGCACTTGGCGTCAAATTTATTCTTTTGAAATTTTTACAATACAAAAGGAATTCAAAAGAATAAATTTGACGTCAAGTGCGGAGAACACACTACCTTGGGACTTATTAAAAGGGTGTATACACATGACTTTTGTGCTGTGTGAGTTTGGAGTTTCAAAAAAAAAAAATTCCCATCAGGCCATTGACTATTGATCACGTAAAAGAGGTGTTTGAAATCGCGAGAGAATGTTATATTGCATTCCAAAAATATGACAAAGAGTGGGAAGAGTATATTGACGACTTGAAAATGGATCAAAATTACACCCCTTACAGATAAAGCCAAATTGAAAATAATTATCTTCAATGTATCCATAGGTCCTTACCCAGATCCACCCAATGGAAAATGGTTCTGCCCATCTTGTGCGAAAACATAAATTAACAGTTAATAAAGTTTGTCTTTCTCGAGAATAAATATTGTTGATTGGTTATTTCTGTCTCCATGAGGTCATGAATGTCCTAATAGGGCGGGGYTCCCAGGGCCGGGCATTTAACAGCTGTTTCACCCCCGAGGGCTGGGGAAAACACATTACTTTAACAATTGCCAAATATTAATTTCCCCGGCCTTTCCCGGGGGTTGGGGGACCGGGGTTTCAATTGACTGATGCATAATGATCTCCCGGATAGCACGATATTTTCATATAATGATATTGATTGCTAACCATCGTTGTAGATTCATATGTTCAAAGAAAACATTCAATGAATCATGTGGCGTTTCCTCGATACCTTTTCTTCAACGAAATACTACGGGCTTTGCTTACGTATGCGCGCGCATGAAAAATATATAAACTGATTATGCAACGTCTAATCCCATTGGTTGAAACAGAATAAACGTCATTTGTGACGTCAAGGATGACGTCATTCACATCGTGTTACCAAGATACATGAGAGCGTAACGAGCGTAACTTGCTTATGATGGCGAATCTCTGATAGTTATATGATTATATCTAATTGTTCCAATCTTTTAAAAACTGCTTAGAAGCATCGCTGCCTCCCCAATTTCTCCTAACTTTCGGCAATCTGATTCCGCGGGAGTTAAAAGAGTCCAACAAAGGCATTGAGGGATGCCCCTAACTGGGTAATTACACTTTATTTGCTCTTTTTCAGCTGCGGGCTTTATATCCCATGTATTGCTATACTTACAGAACTTACAGTGGGTTAAAACTTCCCGAATATTTGTTCAAAAGCGTAGAATGATATGGCTCAATATTCTTTCTTTGCTTAGAACAAGGCTTGATTTTAAACCGATACCTTCGAATATGAGACACAAAATAGACACAAAAGCTTCAGAAATATCAATACATATCAACAACTGTATAATGCCCAAAAATACAGAATCCTGACCAGGAATACCCGGGGGGTACTCCCTCCTCAACTTGGGTTGGGGTGTGCCGCACGACCCTCAAAATCCTTACCCTAACCCTATCGGGCAGTAATACAATATATTTTGTAGCCCTGTCAGCAACCTCATTCCCAGGGCCTTAGGTTGCCCTGTCAGATGTCCTTAACTTCTTTTTTTAATCACGGATGCATGTCTGTGGTCAAATCATGTATCATAGTAATACTCAAGATTTTTTTTGTAAATTTACAAAAGCTTTAGTAGAGATTTTTCAAAAGTCAACTGGATCGCTTCTTATACATGACAGACTGACCAGCCGTTGTGATGTAATCTATTTGAGTGGCCTGGAAACTAGCTAGCGCCGTTGTCAAACTCTAGAATTTTAGCGGTGTCGAGGAGTGTTTAATCATTGTTTATCGAACTTCTAAGAGTTCACTCTCGGCATTTCTTGGCCTAATTCCATCATGGGCTTTAGCTTTAAGTACACTCGCTATTCTGCCATCGCTCAAATCACTTTGGGAGTTTTAAGCATTGTGTTTGGTATCGCTGATCGAGCTGTGCTGTACAAGAGATATGCTTTTCACTCGGAATCTGTTGTGCCGATATGGATGGGTGTTTGGGTAAGACAGATTTTCGATGACGGGAATAAATGGTGAAACTAATTTTAGCTTTATATTGATTTAACTTCAACAACAAATGCAGCAAAAACAATAATTTTTCGCACCCTAAAAATGTAAATAAAAATCATTTCTCATCTTCCGTTTATAAATGTCTACATTCACAAAATATAATTTTGATATATGAAACGCAAAACAACTGCCATAGTCAAATGTCTTTTCAAATTTTGGTTTTCTGTCTAATAATTAAAATGGTGGTATTTAATTAATGTAGCTTATCAATTATACATTATTGCCGGATTTCAAACTTTTCTCTTCACTCTGGAGAWGGTCGAAATCTAACCCTCCCAAAACACACTAAAACAGCATCAAAATCGAAAATAACCCCTCCAAAAATGTTCATAAACTATTGAACCATCTTTATTGAAGTTTTTTGATMTTTCAAGAATGAAAAGATACGGTTTAGAAACGATATTTTTTGACTACATGTGAAAATCCGTTAAGTTTGTCGCCACAGGTAGCCCATCTCCCGTAACTCCTCAGAGACTGGTAAGCCTGTGATTATAGTATTGAGAAGTATTAAGTTAATATTTTTTATTTTCTTTAGTTTGTTATCACTGGAGTGATTGGTGTGCATGGAAGTAAGCGCAGCAATGCTAGGGATGGAAGAGCATCAAGGCCATTGGTGAATCAATCTTACTATCACTAATGAAATCAGGCGTCAATTAATTGAATTTATATTAAAAAGATCCTAACTTTGACATGTTTAAAATAAAATACAATGTTGTTTAAAATAAAATACAATTTCACACACTGTTTAAACTAACCTAATAATTATTCCACCAAGAATGCAAATGTTAAGACTCACACTTTGCATATTGTCTTGTAGATTGGGACCTACCTTGCTTTTAGTATTGTCTCTACTGTATTTGCTGCAGTAATCATCATTATGTATGCCATTGGAGTTGCAGTAGTCATAACAAAAGGCTCTCCTTGTCATTATGCAGGAAAATATGTGAACGTTTATAAGAGCCAACACTATCGTGACCACAAATACATATCACTAGAAAAGGAGTGCAACAGAAGTGTTGCTATGGGTTCACTGGTCATTATCTTTGCCATTCTTGAGTTCTGTGTTGGTATCTGGGCWTCTATTTGTGCTTGCACCAATGGCTGCTGTGATTGTTGTAATCCCACAATGCAACAGCCTACACAAATGGTATGTTTGAAACCTTCACTGGGGAAAAATATATGATTGCAACAGATTGTGGGTAGGCAGACGCAGTGTCTGGCATTAAGATTCAAGTTTGACTGGTCAATAAGTAAAAGATGTCCAGTCACACAAAGATTTGACCCCGGGGGGGGTACTCGACCCCGTTTTGGATAGGTACGTGCCGCCAGCGGTCTAAAACCCTTACCCTGTTTAAGACACTAGAAAGTAAAAATCCATACCCTGTTCAAGACAAATCGGAAAAATAAGGAATAGCTATCTACGCCGCAACCATCAAAACTGCAATATTATACTGACATCCATCAAAGACAATAAGAAGTTTTTGATAACACGTTAATCCTGCTACAGTGAAACGGTATTTCTACTAATTGTACGGTATTTCTTATGAAAATATTACCCTTTCCAAGACACAAAAAAAATTATATCGGTCTTTTATCTTAATTGTAGAGCCTGTTTAAGACAATTTCGGGTGAAATGTATACCCTGTTTAAGACAGCAAGGCCAAAAACCATACCCTGGCCAGCGGCACGTCCCCGTATAGCAAATATATGGGAGTTCCCTCCCCGGGGATTTGACCAGTGCCAATTTTATTTGCCCTGAACTGGATTGACAAAAGCTACAATGTTGCTTATAAGATTCACATTTGTTGGACAGTAGAAAGAACAAAATGATTATTGTTTTGATTTTAATTTTATAAATTACAGGGCCAAGTGATCTATCTCCAAACCCAACAAGGCCCACAAGCGTACATCATGACACAAAGTGCAAATGGGGTTTCTGTGGCAGTACCTGCTATGGTACCAGGCCAGGTTCAAATGTCTGCCGTACCAGCCCCTACACAGGTGAGTTAAATGCTTTTGTTTTCCATTTCTAATTGATTGATTAATCAGTTTCAATATTTATTAAAAATTATTATAATTATTGTACGGGTATGTGCCGCTCGATAGGGTCACTGTTTCAGAGCTCCATATCTGGGATAGGGTATCATTTTTTGCCCATTTCTCTGGGATAGGGTAGTCTTTTTGTCTGATATAGGGTAAGTTTTTGTCTGGAATAGGGTAGTTTTTTGTCTGGGATAGGGCATAGTCTCGTTTTCTGGGGTAGGGCAGAATTTTGCCTGTGATCATATCTGCTAGGCCACGCTTTCAGCGCTAAAATATTGTACCTTTAGTCTGGGGTAGGGTATGTAAAATCACAAAAATAGGTCTGGGATAGGGTTAAATTAGGAGGTTATGGTTTTACCCAGTATATAGTGCTATTCAACCTTCATTTAAAGATCGACCCTGGTAATAAAAATGTAAAAAGAAAAGAAAATTCAGGGGGTCTTCCAATTACTCAGCTATCACGGTAGTGTCCCCATTCCTCATAAACAATCAGAGGAGTGCCACAGAGGAGTTATCAGGGGGATGTCCTGTTTAAGCTGTCACGGTATGTCCCAGTTGACCCTATATGAAATATTTAAAAAGACAATAATTAAGGCTTAAAGTTAGTCATCTCAAAACCCCAAAGTCACTTGGTTCATGTTCAGCAAAGTCATGATTAATTATAATTTTATATTAAATTCCATTTTAGGCCATGTACCCATCGCCTGCTGTTGCTCCAGGGGGTGGTGCTCAAGGGGTTGGTACCCTTGATGCCCAGGCACCTCCTCTTCATCCAAAAAGCGGAGACATGCCTCCCGTTTACCAACCTTGAATTGATGCAAGTAGTAAATATACTGTAATATTTAGAAACTGCATGAGCCAAGCTCAATAAATTTACTGAAATTAAGTAATCCTTAAGTATTTAAAAGACTTTTTAACTTTGTTATTTGCTTTGTCTTTGGTAACTGGTTAATATATTACCGGTATATTATTTTGTAGAAGAATATTTGTTCAAAAGCAGTAACTATAGTGTGGATTTTATTTAAACTATTGTGATATGCATTTTGATAAATATGAAATTATTCATAAAGTGTAAAAAACCTGCAGGTCAGGTAGTTGTAAATTTTCTTGTAAAATATGCTTTCATTAGAGTTGTAAGCAGTTGTAAATATAGAAACTGGAATATATTGTAGTATTTTATAGGATCTGCAGGTCAGTTTGTAAATGATATTAAAATAAACAAACAATAATTACTGTTAATTATCATGTACTTACAAACCTTCTGGTTGGTATATACTGGGCTTCCTTTGCTCTCTAATAGAGCTGGGGGGAGGACAAATCAGGCTGCGAGGAAGATTAAATTATTTCTTACTGAGTGATGCAAAAATGCTCCCTGAATGCMTTTGTCACCAACACAAGTTGTGGAATCCTCTGCCAAACTAGCCGTTTTGATGTGTGTACTGATACTTGTCAAGCGTATTTTCTATGACTTTACAACACTGTTCATCGTTCCTTGGCCTTATTCTGCGATTGGGTTCCAGTTAAAAAAGTCCAACTAAGTTATTGTGGGTAATTACACACTTTATTGGTCTTTTTCAGGTGTGGGCTTTTAATATAAACCCCTATGTTGCTATACTTACATACATAACAGTGGTTGGAAACTTCCCGAATATTTGTTCAAAAGCGTAGAATGATAAGGCTCAATATTCTTTATACTTTGCTTAGAAAAAGACGTGATTTTGAATCGACACCTTCGAAAACTAAGGAATTACTTGATTGCACATGGAACTAGATCGGTCCCAGAATATACGACCTCATACGAATGCGTGACGAACCCTGACCAGTTAATACAATATATTTCCGGTACAGTTCCCTAAGTCAATTAAATTACAATACAACTGTGTAGCCCTAACGATGGCCTAACTTCTTTTTTCAAAGCCTCTGCTTCAGATAAAGTTACGGCAGAATTTAAGTTAGGCTAGTAATATTTTTTAAGCACACAACATTTCACGAATTTTTGTCTGAGGCAGTGTCACACTGCCCGCATGTCTTGACGGTAGAAGTACCACCGYTGTGTTTGGATAGCGACAACAAAAGACAACAACTGATCTAGACAGACGACGAGTTGTATCGTGGCAAGTGAAATTGAATTGCAACTAACGTCTAGATTTTTTCTTCTTGTTGTTGTATGAAATAGAATAGGAACGCTGCCTTGCTTCATGAGCTCCTTCATGGTCGCTACACAGGGGCGGATCCAGCCGGTGGGTGCAGGGGGGTGCGCACCCCCTCCTGAGATCTGTATCCTTCAATACTTCCCTTATTTTGTATCTTCATGGTAATGATTTTTGTTGGGTGCACCCCCTCCTGAGAGTCCCGCACCCCTCCCTGAGGAAAATCCTGGATCCACCCTTGCTACGCTGAATTCGTTCAAATCACTCTGTGTGTTAAAGAATCATAACCACCTGCCGTACCTTGCGAACCGAAGCGCCATTTTAGGTGGACACTAAAATGGCGGATTTGCAGGATTTCTTAAAGTGAGCGCAAATCGTCTTCCGTCCTTTCAGTTTGGACAGAAATACCTTTAACTAAGTACCTCACAGGTACTATCAATCTATAATTTATTGTATGCTTGATGCATTTATTAAATGTATGTAAACAATAATGCGAGCGCGCAAGGTACGACGGGTGGTTATGATTCTTTAAAGCCTCGTGTTTCGCATCCGACAGTGTGAAGTTCGATGGCCTGGAAACGAGAGAAGTTGTCAAGGACTTAGTTTTCAGTGCGTCACTTTTGGCTGTCCACAGATAGAACTTGTAAAGGGACTTATAAATCTTGGTTTCTTGGCCTAATTCCATCATGGGCTTTAGCTTTAAGTACACTCGCTATTCTGCCATCGCTCAAATCACTTTGGGAGTTTTGAGCGTTGTGTTTGGTATCGCTGATCGAGCTGTGATTTACCAATACGCTTTTCACTCGGAATCTGTTGTGCCGGTATGGATGGGTGTTTGGGTAAGACTTACGTTTAACTATTTGCCGATTTCCAATGGCGGGAATTAGTGTGAAACTAATTTTAGCTTTATATTGATTTAACTTCAACAAGAAATGCAGCAAAAAAAAAAAAATTCGTATCTCTAAAAAAAGTAAATAAACGTTTCTGTTCCGTATATGTTTAATGACGTCATTCCTCTGCGTCAGTCAAGGTCGCTCTACATAATTTTAATCAAGAAGTGTGCGCAAATGTTGATCTTGAAAAAATCTCATTTTGGTAATTCATTTTATTTGTGAAACTCGACCATTCTAAAGTAAAGTATTGATTTTTTTATCCAAGATAAAAAGTTATGTGGTGATCCGTATGGATCATCAAAAGGTCCTTGAATTTCCGAAGCTGTTTGTTAATAGATGTTTACATTTTTCTTTAGTAAAATAATTGGGACAGGGTGTCATTTTAGCAATTTCAACAGACATAGTGGGGRATACACTTTTAATTTCTTTATTTTAGGGATACCTCTCTAAGACAATAATTTTTAAAAAGTGTTAATTGCATGAAAAATTGGTCTTATTTCAAAACTTCAAGTAATACAAACATATGAATCATTTATATCTATTACTAGCCTCCTTCGCAGGCAACTCTACTCCGTGGGATTCCTGTGTTAACGCAAAAAAGCTGCCGGAGGGGGAGGGGCTAGGAAGGAAGGAAAAGCAGGAGGAGTTATTCCTAATCTCTCGACACCAGTTCTTCTCGGTCAAGAATATGAACACAGGAAGACCAAAAAGAGAAAAATTTCCGTTTCCGATGGAGTAGCCTGCGAAGGAGGCTAATCTATTACATGTAAAAACAATTTTGGGAAAATATTTGTTTTAGAATTATCCCACATCAGAGACATTTTGATTCAAAAGATGGCAGAACAAAAGGATGGAGTAAAGATCCATTAAATGATGTCTGATTGATTCCAACATTTTCTGCCCAAATTATTATGGATTTGTATCAATATCTTCTTGAAATCTGTTGCTTCATGATTATTAGACCCATATAGATAGACTCTATTTGATTTCCAAGTATTTTCTAATGTTTTGCAATTTTTTGTAACATTCCCTTTGGCTTTGTTAGTTTGTTATCACTGGAGTAATTGGAGTGTATGGCACTAAGCAAAGCTGTGCAAGCAATGGAAGAGTATCTAGATCATTGGTAAATCAATCCTACTTAATTACCACTAAAATCAATTTGCTTATTATATCAAGTGATTTTATAACATAAGTGAGCTCTTGGGTACCCTGTGCACCATGCCTCACTTTGATGTAAGTGTGCTTGTGCTGGTAGATTTAATGTTGTTACAATTGAGCTCTAATCATCGGAATTTAATAAAATAAAATAATATATGTGTACCCATGTTACCCTTGTAATTATTGTTCTTCCAGTTTGGGACCTACCTTGGTTTTAGCATTGTCGCTACTGTATTTGCTGCAGCAATCATCGTTATGTATGTCATTGGCATGCTAATCTTAACAAGAGGCTCTGCTTGTCGTCATGCAACAAAATATGTTACAAGCCCACCTTCTGATCCCAATCATGACTACAAATACATATCACTAGAAAAGGAGTGCAACACAAGTGTTGCTATGGGTTCACTGGTCATTATCTTTGCCATTCTTGAGTTCTGTGTTGGTATCTGGGCCTGTGTTTGTTCTTGCAACAATGGCTGCTGTGATTGTTGTAATCCCACAATGCAACAGCCTGCACAAATGGTATTGTCTCTGTGAAACCTTAGTGGTGCATTTAATTTTACATTGCAGGGCTAAATCATAATGACAGAGTGTATATTTACATAGGCAAATACACGCCTGGCAAGGCTGAAGGTTGATTGACTTGTGGTCAATTTCAAACGCATTCATCTTATAAGAAAGCTATCCATTAATTCACGCAGATCAATACTCTCCCCCAAGGGAGGGGGTACTCCATAGGGTCCCTTTTTCAGAGCTCCAAGTCTGGGATAGCCGGTATCATTTTTTCCCATTTGTCTGGGATAGGGTAGTCTTTTTGTCTGAGATAGGGTACAGTCTCATTGTCTGGGGTACTGTGGAGTTTTGCCTGTGATCATGTATCTGCTAGGGCCTCCTGCTAGGCCACGCTTTAAGCGCTAAAAGAGGAAGTCTGGGGTAGGGTATGTAAAACCACAAAAATTGGTCTTCGATAGGGTAAGGGTTTTCGGGGTGTGGCACACCCAAATTGGAATTGAGGACTCTCCCGTGCATGTGAGAAATGGAAAATCAATAAAATGTTATTTCTACTCAAATACTTCTGATACCTTTTTATATATTATTAAGTAATAATAGTCACCGTATAAATTAAATATGTTCTTCAAGCCTGGCCAGCTGATCTGAGAAAAAATGTTAGCCAATCAGAATCGAGAAAATAATTTGCAAAACTGAATTGTCACCCTTGGTAGCCTGGCTTTCAAAATGGCGGACTTACGTGCTCGACGGGGAAAAGTTTATTGTTTATTCTTCTTTGTCCTTGGGGTGATTTTCTGAAATCTCTTCGCTGGCTTTTGTGTATCTTGATCTTAAAAGGCCATTGAACATTTTGTTGAGTCCATTGTACATCCTAATAATCCAAAACACAGATAATATGAATAGATTTTTATTTTCAACACTTACAAATGTTTTATATTTTCGCCGGCTCGCGACGCGTCCGTCCACTGCTCACGCAAATATTTATGCATTTAATTAAATTTGKTAGACCGCTKGTCAGTCCTGTGGGCCCAAGGACAACTCAGTTTTGCAAATACGTCATCATGACGTCACATTTCAGATCAGCTGGGGCTCAAGCTGGAAATTTCTGAGGCTCATAATTTCAAAAATCTTATTTTCATAAATTATTGCAGGGCCAGGTATTCTATCTCCAAACCCAACATGGCCCACAAGCATACATCATGACCAAAGGTGCATATGGGGTTCCTGTGGCAGTACCTGCTATGCTAACAGGCCAGGCTCAAATGCCTGCTGGTGCAAATGGGGTTCCTGTGGCAGTTCCTGGTATGGTACCAGGCCAGGCTCAAATGCCTGCTGGTGCAAATGGGGTCCCTGTGGCAGTTCCTGGTATGGTACCAGGACAGGCCCAAATGTCTGCTCCACCTGGCGCACAGGTGAGTTAAATGCCTATTTTCCCATTTCAGAGTCTGATTGCTCATTTGAAATTTATTTAGAATCCATAAATTTTAATAAATGCACTTCGGCCAGGTAACACATATGCAAAAATATAGTGGAAACTCGCGATATACTAAGTGAGCTGTATCGGTGTTTCTAAATAAACAGTTGTGTAAAAAGATAAATTTAACACCGTAAAAAATTAAGGGAAATAACTTACTGACGTTTTGGACATTAATCCTTCGTCTCTTTACCGCCAACGAAGGATTAACGTCCGAAACGTCAGTAAGTTATTAGAATCCCTTACTTTTTTACGGTGTTAAATTTATCTTTTTATACAACTGCAAAAA